CAGCGATAAAAAGAAATGAGCTATCAAACAAACAAAAGAAGACACACAGGAGCCTAAAATACATATTACAAACGGAAATAAGCCAGTATGGGATCATACAATATGTATGACTAATGAAATGACTGTCTGGAAAAAGCAAAACTACAGAGACAGTCGAAAGATGAGTGGTTGCAGGGCTTCAGGAGGAGGTGAGGAGGAATGAATAGTGAAGCACAGGGCATTTTCAGGGCAGTGAAACTATACTGTATGATACTGTAATGGTGGATACAGGACACTATGTATTTGTCAAAACCTATAAAACCATCCAACACAAAGAGTGAACCTTATGTAAACTACGGAAACTGGTTAATAATAATAATAATACATCACTTGTGACAAATGTACCAAACTAATGCAAGATGTTAATAACAGGTAAAACCGTTGTGCTGCTGGTGGCAGGGGGGGCTAGAATATGGGAACTCTCTGCACTTTCTGTGTAATCTTTTCATAAACCTAAAACTGCTCTGAAAAATTGTTGCTGTTAACTGCTGTAGAGTTGCCCCTGACTCATGGCAACCCCACGTGTTACAGAGTAGAACTGTGCTCGATAGGGTTTTCTTGGCTATAATCTTTACAGAAGCAGACTGCCAGGCCTTTTCTTCCAGAGCAACGCTTGGTGGATTCCAACTGCCAGCCTCTTGGTTAGCAGTCGACTGCAAACCGCTTGCATCACCCAGGCTCCTTGCCCTAAAAAATACTTTGAAAAGAAAACAATAGATACTGCTACCACTTATGGAGCACCTACTCTGTGCCAGGCACTGTGCTAAGCATGTTACTTGCATTATCTTGCTTAATCCCCATAAACCTGTGAGGCAAATATTACTATCACCTTCATGTTACATACAAGGAAACCTAGGCAGACAGGTTCTCGAGTGATTTACGCAAAGTCGTACCGCTTCCAAGTGGCAGGACTGGGATTTTCAGGTCAGTGTGACTCCAAGGCCAGCCCTCACTCCACCGGCCACACTTAAAATCAGTGTTAAATAAAACACATAACAAGAAGAGAAACACAGAAGCAATCCTTTGTTTTCTATCGCCATCATACAAAACGACAAAACAAGTCACATCCAGTTTTTACAAAAGATTATAATTTAACAAACAATGGAGGCACTTAAATCTTCACAAAAAATGAGTGTAGGTAGTGCAATTTACAATTGTTATTTGTTTACCCAGGAATTATTTCAGTTAATTAAAGAGACAGAAGAGGTAGGCAGTATTTGTAAAGAAAGAACAGAAGTCAGACGCTTAAAATTATGCTATCAGATTAGCATAAAAAAGAGAATAAGCTACAAATGAAAAATTTGCAGAATATAATAAAAGCTGAATGTGTTACAACTAAAGATAACTCTTTGAATGATAAAAAAGAGCCAGCACATCTAAAATAATTCATTATTTCAGAGTTAGATAGCAAATGACTAATCAAAATCTCATAACAAATAACCATCTGTCTGTATCAACACCCGTGTGGAAAAGTCAAACTCAGCTTTATCAGAATTATTTCCCCAAGAAAATACAGGACAAATTTGTGGTTGTCTACTAAAAAAGAAAAACAAATGACATCTCAAAGCAGATACAGACAACATTAAAAAAGGAGGTATTTAAGATTGTCAAATCGTTAACAAGTAGAAGCCAGCTCCCTGTAAAGGCCTACGGGAGACCTGGAATGAGAGAAGGGCCCTAATTCTACACAAAAACGAGGTAAGTCCTTTGTACATTCTCAAGCAAGAGGGCACGCATTGCTCCCCTCCTCACACATGACACTGAGATACACAGAGAACAGCAGAGATTCCCAACAGAACAGCATACGCAAAGCAAAGGCTGCCTGAGCCATTCAGCTTTTTTCTGTACAATCCATGAACTTGGAGATCATCAAACAAATCTAAGATGCAGCCTCTCTCCAAGATACCAGGACAACTTCTCTTTCACGGAGCCATCTGACCTCATTTCTAGGTAAAACAACTTCTCTGAATATCCCACAAACACCTTAAAGATGCATCCCATATTGACATCACTGCCAACCTTGTACCTGTGTCCTGTCATACTGAATGGAGCCACCATTCACTCAGATTCCCAGGCCACAGGCCTAGGGGCCATCTGTGACTCCTCCATGTCCCTCCACTGCACATTCTGTCACCAGGGTCCTGTGGATTCAGACGTAAAACATCATTTGAATGCATCTACTCTTCTATTCTACTTTGAGGAGGCAGCTCTTCCCCGGTCATATTTTGAGCATCTTCCAACCTAAGGGGCTCATTGTCCAACGCTATATCAGACAACGTTCTGCTGCTATCCATAAGGTTTTCACTAGCTAATTTTTTTTTCAGAAGGAGATCACCAGGTCTTTCTTCCTAGTTTGTCTTAGTCTGGAAGCTCCACTAATCTTTCCATCCTGGGTAACCCTGCTGGTATTTGAAAAACCAGCGGCACAGCTTCCAGCATCACAGCAACATGCAAGCCACCACAATATGACAAACAGACACGTGGTGGTATGGATAACATTGTGAAGAATGGGAATTCCAGAACACTTAATTGTGCTCATGAGGAACCTGTACATAGATCAAGAGGCAGTGGTTCGAACAGAACAAGGGATACTGTGTGGTTTAAAATCACAAAAGGTGTGCGTCAGGGTTGTATTCTTTCACCATACTTATTCAATCTGTATGCTGAGCAAATAAACTGAGAAGCTGGACTATAAGAAGAAGAATGCAGCATAAGTGTTGGAGGAAGACTCATTAGCAACCTGTGATATGCAGATGATTCAACTTTGCTTGCTGAAAGTGAAGAGGACTTGAAGCATTTACTGATGAAGATGAAAGACTACCGTCTTCAGTATGGATTACACTTCAACATAAAGAAAACAAAAAACCTCACAACTGGACCAATAAGCAATATCATGATAAAGGGAGGAAAGACTTAAGTTGTCAAGGATTTCATTTTACTTGGATCCATAATTAACGCCCATGGAAGCAGCAGTTAAGAAATCAAACAACATACTGCATTGGGAACATCTGTTGCAAAAGACCTCTTTAAAGTGTTAAAAAGCAAGGATGTCACTTGGACTAATGACTAAGGTGTCCCTGACCCAAGCCATGGTATTTTCAATCACCTTATATGCATGTGAAAGATGGACAATGAATAAAGAAGACAGAAAAAGAATTGATACTTTTGATTACAGTGTTGGTGAAGAATACTGAATATAACATGGATTGTCAAGAACGAACTAATCTGCCTCGGAAGAAGTACAGCTGGAATGCTCCTTGGAAGCAAGGATGGCAAGACTTCATCTTACGTACTTTGGACATGTTATCAGGAGGGACCAGTCCCTGATGAAGGACATCATGCTTGGTAAAGTAGAGGGTCAGTGAAAAACAGGAAGACTCTCAATGAGATGAACTGACACAGTGGCTGCAACAATGGGCTCAAACACAGCAACGACTGTGATGATGGTGCAGGACTGGGCAACATTTCATTCTGATGGACACAGGGTTTCTATGAGTCGGAGCTGACAGCACCTAACAACAATTCGTTTACTATTACCTTAGTTTATATCCTAGACTCTTGCAATTATTGGCTGACTATGTCCCTTCTTTGGTCTGCTCCTCTGATTATTCCTAGTGAATGGTCCTTCTAAAAGGCAACTCTGTTCATGGCATTCTTCTTGGCATGCTTCATTGGTTCCCTATCTCTTACAGGATGGCATCAAGGCCTCTTCTTAGTAGCCATCAGTTTGACCAGAGGGTCTGGTACATGATATCCTCATTTACTGAGCTCCAACTTCACATCTAAATATCCTGTTCAATTCCTACAACAACCATGGTCAAATCCCTGAGAAAAATGGAAAAGGAGAAAGGGGAGTTTCCCTTAGCACTTTAGGTGTGAGGAATAAATTTTTAGCATTCCACTTAGAGAACGAAGAAATCTGGTAACACCAAAAATTGTTTTGTAGCCAGTTTATTTTCAAGACCCTTTAGCCAATCCACAGACTGTTTCCCTCTGGCAGTCTCTCTTAAGCTATAGTGATTCATTTTGGGTAAGCAAAGAAATGACTCTTAAGTAATTTCTTTCAGCTGAGATCTGCAAGGGAGCTGCCTGGGCCTCCCAACATAGTTTTCTTCTGGAGTCTTCCTGAGAACATCTGTGCTGAAGCAGAAAATACAGACTTGACTTTAAATCCCAGACTCTGCCACTAACTAGCTGTGTGGCTTCAGTCAAGTTACACAATCCTCTGAGTGTTATCTTTCTTATACACCCACTCCTCACTTATCAACATCATTAGGTCCCAAACACCAGGTTATTATGCAAAAATCAGTGTTATGCGAAAATAGAGGATGACCATATCAGATCACAAAATGGAAGATGACTACATCATTACATAACTGCCAAATTACATCATTACACAGCTGCCAAGTTACATCATTACATAACTGCCAAACCACTGAGAATTATGGCCCAGCCAAGCTGACACATAACCTTAACCATCATAGCCAGCATTACTCTCACCTCATACGTTGGCATTTGCTACTGCCAGACGTATGTCATTAATGGGCAAAATAGTAGGAAACATTTTTTACTATTGTCATAAATGCAAGGTAGTCGATAAGTGAGGAATACATGTAGAGAAAAAAAGATAAAGTAAATACCTAAAGTATATTTACTTATAGGCTTGTTAAATGCCACAACAAACACTGAACATCAACTAAGGGCCAGGCACTGCCTTAGCACCTGGGATTCAAAGATCAGAATCATAGTCCTGCCAGGCACTCCCAGTCTAGCAAGGCAGACAGAGACATACCAAAAATTGTATTGAAACAACATGGTGAGTGCTATACTCAAGAATGTGAACAAACAGAACAAATACACGAAGGAAGGAGGACTCACCGAGGACGACAAGAAGCATCAAGGGAGAACTTAGTCAAAATGAGATAATGTATGTAAGAACACAATGTCTGATGATACCTGGCTCTCTTAGTAAATGTCTTCCGGTTGATTTTTGTAAACCTCCATTTAGGCTTACAACTATTATTGCCCTAGTCTTTCTCTTGCCCCCTGGAAATTCACATATTAACTCACCAACAAAATATCTGATGGTCACTGGTTACATTTTTGGAGAAACTCTAGTTTACTTGTCAATAAGATGCTTTTTCTGAAGGTTTGTTATCTTTGGCATCTGCTCTTCTAATTAGACATGAATGCTATGATATTGTGCTCACTGGTTCATCTGGAAATGGGGCAGCGTTCTTAAATGTCCTTCCACCTTTATTAAGAAGGCTTCTCAGAGAGGAGAAGTTCTGAATTGTTTTCTGGACAGGAAAAGTTGGTAGTCTAGAACACAGAGAAAACAACATCTTTTGATTCTAACATTTCATAATTTTTTACTATCTTACCCCATTGTCTTATACAAGACAACAAAAAGGAAGTAGATACCAGAAATAAAGAAGTGGAAACCAGAAGTTCTAATATTCAACTTCTGTCTATTCATGGATAAGAAACTATATAAGTGTAACTTGGATCACAGACACTTTCAGATGCTGGACAAAGTATTGAAGGTAACAGTGTTTTATGCTATAGATTGTGGTGGTTTTAAAATGTGTCCACAAATCCTTTGATGTTCTTCAAGTGCCTAGATGCCCTTCAGTGTGGGCACTGTGTCTTCCTCCATGTTTCTCCCCTTGGATCACTCACTTTAGGAGAAGTCAGCTGCCATGTTATGAAGACACTCAAGCAGCTCTGTTGAGAGGTCCATATGGTGAGAAACTGAGGCCTCCTGCAAACTGCCAGCACTAATTTGCCAGATGTCTAAGTGAACCACCTTGGAAATGAATGCCCCAGCCACAATCAAGCCTTCAAATGACTGCGGCCCTGGCCAACGTCTTGACTGTAACTTCATGAGTAGATATGAACCGGAAGCACCCAGCTAAGCCACTCCCAGATTGCTGACCCAAAGATACTGTGAGAGATACTAAATGTTTATTGGTTTAAGCTGCTAAGAGTTGGGGTAATTTGTTGCTCAGAAATGGATAACTAATACATAGGCCAATAGTATATTAGTGATAAGATTTTTGTATTCAGGATAGCATAATTTTCTTAGTTAAAAAACAATTCCTTTTGTTTCTTTTCTCTGGAACATAAAAATATGATATTCACAATTGTGAGTTTTGAGGCAACACGAAGTTAATATTGGTTCTGCTACCTCTATGCCCCTACCTCATATCCCCCACCCCAAAGAAAGAAACAATATTTTCAAATACTGGAATTCTATGACTAAAAAAGAGTAATGGATGGAGACTTCTTAAAAAACTATTTAAATAAGCTATATGAGAAGGCAGTAATAATGAAAACAAATGACTTGTAACAAAATTATAATCAGGCAAATAAAGCAAAGTAGTACTAGCCACAATTATTAGGTAACAATGAGTTTTGAATTTTACCAGAATTAGTGATTTTATGGTTTGGGCACTTAAATAATTTTTTTCATTTATTTAAAAACATACCCAGGACAGAACGGGAGAAAAATGTAGAACAGAATTCAAATTCACAAAAAAAGACCAGACTTACTGGTCTCACAGAGACTGAAGGAACACCCGAAATTATGGCCCCCAGATACTCGGCTAACCCAGAACTGAAACCACTTCCAAAGCCCACTTTTTAGACAAAGATTAAACCAAAAAAAAAAAAAAAAAAAACCAAAAACCCATTGCAGTCAAGTCGATTCCAATTCATAGCAGCCCTACAGGACAGAGTAGAACTGCCCCGTAGAGTTGCCAAGGAGCAGCTGGTGGATTTGAAGGGCTGAACTTTTGGTTAGCAGCCGTAGCTCATTATAGCTCTTAACCACTGCACCACCAGCGTTCCAGACAAAGATTAGACAGGCCTATAAAACAAAAAATAACACGTCAGGAACGTGCTTCTTGTTTCAATCAAATATGCGAGACCAAACGGACAACTCCTGTCCAAAAGCAAGACAAGAAGGCAGGAAGGGACAGGAACTGGATAAATGGGCAGAGGGAACCCAGAGTGGAAAGGGGAAGCATGCTGTTACATTGTGGGACTGCAACCAATGTCACAAAACAATATGTGCATAAATTTTTAAATGAGAAATTAACTTGAGCTGTAAAATTTTACCTAAAGCACAATGAAAATAAAAACACGAATTTTTTTGCACATAATGTAAAATTATAGTTAAAAGTTCCAGGTATTATATCTGTAAACAGAAAAAAGGGCATTTTCTTCTCATTTATTATTTTCACCAAGCTTAGATTCATTTCTTCCCAAATATTTATCTGCCAGAATATCTGCCCGGAATTCTCCTAGGGCCTGGGAATGGAATAAAAGAAACAACAGTCTGTGACCTCAAGGAACTCACAGAGTGTACGCTAGTGTTTCTCACACGAGCATAACCTGTGGGGATATTTTAAAATACAGATGAATCCATAGGCCCATTTCTAGAAACTCAAATATCAAAGGCAGGGAAGTGGAGCCTGGAATTTCCAATTAAAAAAATTAATAATTGATTCTGATGCTTTGTCAGGACGGAGAACCACCAGCATGGACGATGTTCAACTTGGTGGATAAGTTTAAAAAAAATAAAGAATAAAGTAGTGTATTTCACAGATGCAGAGATTTTTATTTGAAAGAGACTTAATTGACCTTCTAATATAATCCTCTTCACAGGTGAGAAACTCTAGAGGTTTACTTCCCTAAGGTCACACAATGAAGGGAGTGGAATGTAGGTCCTGTAACTCCTGTTCTGATGTGCTTTTGCCTTGATCGGTTCCTCCTAGGCTTAAAAGATGTCTTCAGGAACAAGAACGAGGCCAAAGGATATTTCTAAATCAATTCCAAAAACTTGTGTTGTTACTATAGGCATACTATCTCAGAGTTACCAATCTGGGGTGTTTTTGAAAAGATATAATCAACCAAGAAAAAGCAAGGTAGATGTGAAAAATGTCTTTGAAGCTATTTTGGTTGCTACTGTCAGAAAATGCTTGAATTTAAACTCTAGTAGGCATAAAATAAGCTTATGGAAAACACTAGTTTTGGAATCTGAATCAATGACCTAGAAATAAATCTCAGAGAGGGATAAGTGAAATTTTGAAAGAGTAGAATCAAAGACTATAAAAATGCTATTTCCAAATAGTTTATAAAAATAATGTTTTGGGGTCACAACGTGGAAATAAGTACATTTTAAATCTACAGGCATTAATGATATACTGGCATTTTGTTATATAACACTAGTCTGTTGAGAAGTAAATTTCCTTCAAAGGGGTTTATTACAGGAAGTAACTGAAGGGTCTTGTTATGTTATAGTCTCACCTGTAACAGAAACTCTTATCCCTTTTTAGGGTCTTTGCCAGCTGGCTTCTACTTCCACCACTTTTCTGAACTCACTCAAATGTCAACACTTGGACTTCTCCTGCATATAACCAAACTCAGATCTTTTGTTTCTTGACTTCTCTGTTCACCCTGTCTTCTTGAAACACTGCCTTCTCTTTGTTTCCATGAAACTGTAGGTTCCTAGCTCTCCTCTGACCATTCCTTCTCTGGCCCTCCTAACCAGGGACATCCTCCAAAGGCTCTGCTTGTTACTTCTCACTCTAACTCTCCATTTGTACTACCACGGCACCAGTATTCTCCCACTTGCCTAGGCGCCCGTCCTTGGAGCTAACCTTGACAGTTCTCTTTGCACTGCTTCTCAATATCCAATTAGCCAGCTAGGCTATCTGATTCTTTCTCTGTGACATTTCTAAGATTTACCTTCTCTTCGCATGGCCATCTCCTTTACTCTAGAAACAAGACCTCATCAATTATCAATTAATCCTCAGTCAGCTACAGTGGCTACAATGGACAAGCCTCTTCCTTCTCTGGTACATCCTGTAGCCAGATGAAGACCTTTCTCATCAGGCCCGTTCCGTGTCCGAGAATTCAGCCTATGTCCTGTACAGTCCAACCTCAGTGTCCTTTGTCTTGAATGTCTTTCCTCAGTACTTTCTCCAAGATCCAATATGAAAATCATTCTTGGATGGTGCCTTCCCAATCTAATCCCCTTCTACCATGAACGGATCACAGTCATATCTGGATCAGACTCTCTCACACTTGCTTGTTACAACTAAAGGGAAGTTCTTATAGAGACCACAATGGGGACCAGCAGACAGGTCTCCATATATGTTGTGCTGAATTATAGTGCAGTTCTGGTAAAGTTTAATCGTAATTATATAAAGATTGAGGGAAAATAAAAGCACATCTTGCTTCAACTGCAACAACTATAACTTTAATTTCTTAAACTGAAATAACAGAAATAGATACACACTACAAGCATTTTTGTTTAAAATTGGAGACTCACTGGAACAAAATCCTTTAAATATTGTTGTTAGTTTTCTCTCTTCTGAAGCTCTAGATAGATCTTATCACTCTAAAAATAAAGGGGCCTTTTGGCATCTGAGGAGCTTAGGATTAATGACAACGGGTAGACTCAAATACGTGAAGGATGAATTGTGTCCAAAAAACCATGGGTCAGAGAGATATTTTCCAAATGGGAAATGAATTCTGACAGGAAGCTGCCTGCTGGGAAATGAAGGAAGGCTTTGAGAAGCTAGTAATCATGATCAAATTGTAGTTGTGTGACTAGCCTGAAAAACACATGTGAAATCTACAATATACAAGTTGTTCTGGGAAGAACTTAATTATGCAGAAGAGAAACCCAAAGATCTTTTCAAATTTGAGTATCCACATCATCAAGCATGTTAATGTGTCACAGATAAACAGGCCTGTCTTACAAAATAACGGATGTTCAGAAGTACTTTGCTAGGCTTATAAATCTTATCTCCCTCACATCAAGGGTAGCCCCTGGCTAGGTAAAACTAGCAGGAAGGTTTAACAATAGAGAGATTGTTCAAAATCACATGTGAAAATTAAAATCATACATATGTACTTGCATCTACTTTCCTCTGCATGATTTCTTTCCAGTCATATGTGAAAAGTTGCTTGTCATTCATTCAATGAGCATTTACTGAGCATCTTTTATGTGCCAGGCACTGTCCAAAGCCCCTGGGACTCAATAATCCCTATCCAAAAGGAATTCACAGTCAAAAGGGGGGCAGGGGTGCACAGGCTTGATGAAAAGAAATGAAAGGTAAAAGATAGACTATAACTAAAAGGGGAGGAATACTACAAAACGGAAAATTTGCAGTTTAACTTTAAGCCTATTAAACTAAGAAGCACCCAGTAACTCAATGTAAAATAAAGCCAGCTAAGAACTCTGCCAACTTATCATAGCCAGATTGTTTCCTGAAATTCTCATGTCTGGATGTGTCAAACCAAAAGAC